AAACAGACACAGGCTGCTGACAGAAATGTTGAAGTGGTCATGAAGTCTGGAGCCCGGATGTCGTTCACCTGCCAAACAGTGTCAAGGGTGAAAGGCAAAGATCGAAGGCCAAAGTGCCCCTCGTGTCCCCTGCAACAGGTCTCAGTCAACCTTAATGGATCTATTAATAGAAAGAGGCAGGACTGCGCAGGGGAAGGGGGACTAGCCTGGCTAAAAGCAAAATAAAACATCAACAGACACACTCTTCTATTGTTAGGAGGAGGTGGGATCACAGGCCCAGAGGCCCACAGGCTCCCAGACTAGGCGGGGCCGGGAAGACCCACAGGATTGCTTTTCATGCTGCCACTGATGGATGCTCCAGGCAGATCCACTCTGCCAAGGCGCGCTTTGGGATTAGCCGGGCAATCCTTTGTCTTTTCATGACGTTTCCAAAAGACACTGTGACTCTGACGGAGGTGACCTGCACTTCACGAACCCTCTGTGCAAACCATTAGCGTTTCAGGATCTCAAAAAAACCAAAAAAACACCAAGGGCACATGCCAATTCACAGGACAAATGGAAACAGACTGAAAACAAACACACACAGAACCATGGCTTTTCAGACCTGTCAATATGGTTAGTGTTGGAAATGGGCATTGACTTCTCTTCCACCAAGTGGAATAAAAATTTAGATGCCTTTTGACATCTTAGATATTTTAATGTATTTATACTCAGGCGAAAAGCCCTATAATTATTGCACTGCCTCAAAAATTATTTACGACAGTTCTATCTTAATGCTGTGTCCTGTTTTCCTAGCGGTCAACAGCTTGAGCACCCCCCTTGAGCTCACTTTGCTGGCTCTGTTCTCTCATTTTGTTTTGCGCTTCCCTCTCCTCTCCAGCATGTCTCAGGCCTTTATTTTTGTTGGTCCTAACAGCTGGTCCCCTTCCCTTCCCATCTGTTTCTGTCATCTATTTTCAGGTTATGGCTCAGGCCCACCTTCCTCCTCCAGGAGAACATCTATGTATTCTCCAACGGCTGAGAAACATGCTGAGTGTCTAATTTCATCTTCCATATATGTAACGCGTAACATTAATAAAGACAGTCATACTTTTCTGGAAATAAGCCAAAGGTTCTAAGCTTAGATCGAACTGCAAAACGGTGTAACACAAAGTCAGCATTTGCTGTTACTATTAAATATATAAGCGTTGGTTCATTTTATTTCTTTTCCTTGTCTACACACAAGTAGGTCCTTAAAATGATGACCTTATAAACAGTCATCTCAGTGACAATGATTGTTGGTAAATGGCTTAACGTCATGGGTTGGTCACTACTTATGAAATATCTGGTTTCTGAGCTGCAGAGTGTGTGGATGCCCTCTCCACAACCCCACACAATTGTGATTCACTGTATGCACACCCGACACAACACATGCAAAGCGTGTGTGTCAGACTCAGACAACGTATTTCACTGAATCTGGACTGAAGTTCAACTCATCGTTCTAATGAGTAAGAAGATTCAAAGATGACAAGGAAGCAAGCCCACACAGTCTACGGGCCATGGGATGATGAACTTTCATTTTATTGATTTTTCAATACCTAAGTGTGGCAATGTAAGGCTGCCACATACAGCAAGTGACATGACACCACAAGGACCTTCTGAGAGAATTATTCTTACTTTGGATGGAAGACATCACTTAAACAAAAAACATTTAAAGATGCTCCCTTGCTTTTTATAATTCCTAACTGTAAAACAGAATTTTAGTACAGAACAAAAAAATTCTCCTTGGTTGGTCACATCATTAATTATTGAAAGGGAAACAGTATCAAAAGAAACAAAACACTGAAATAAATAACTAAGTAATTTACTGAAAGGTAGTTTTGCTGCATTGCACACAACCGACCGCACAGAATTCTAAAACTGATTTTTTTCCTTAAAGGATGGAAAACTCATTTGCCATTTTTAGTTTCTTGCTAAGTTTTCCTCTTAAGGAAAACTACTCTGTATAGGCCTGAGTTTAAAATGTAAATATCTGTTTATCCAGAGTTAATCTAGAGTACACAGGTGTGGAAAACTGGTGGTGAAAACAGGGACTACCCAGCCTTCAGGGCAGCTGGGCAGGGGCCCCATGTCACTGGCCTCAGCCACCAGCAGTGCCTTCACTCTGCCCAAGTCAGAAAGCACTGCCTAAAGCCAGAGCTTAGGATGAACATGGGCAAAAAGCACTGGTACAATTCCATGTATTTCTCTTCTACTGTAATGTCCCAAGAGGGACTGTGAAATCTCTGAGAACATCCCCTGGAGGAGGTTTAAAAATGAGAAGCCTATGATACGGCTATGGAACATAAGCACTTATTGCTGGCATGTTTCTACCAAGATTGAACACGATGCTTTTCCTTGATAAAGCTTTGGGCAAGTTCCTAGTCCAATTTCTTCTGTTACAAGTACACAGAGTTTACTGCCTTCTTGGTCAGCTCTTGATATGAATTCTCTAGAATGAAGCTCCTCCCTGGCTTGTCTCTCACCCACCCCGTATCTCTTAGAGAAAGCACCTGGCTGTCTTCACCTACGCGAGACCTTCTCTGGAATGTGATTTGCTGCGACTGCAGACATCTCCACACAGCATAATGAACTCCCTTGAGTGGTCTCTTTTTAAACAATTTTGGGGGAGGGGCAGGTCTCTTGGTTTGTTTGAAAACTCATCTTGAAAATAATCTAGACAGAAAAATGCTAAGTGAAATTCTGGTGCATAAACAAATATTTTAAGATTGAAGTTTGGTTACTTCTCTTGTCCACCTTTTTGTTCTCACAAATGGAAACTACATTCCTGATTTAAGAGGATGCTGCTGTCTGTATCCTTTTTTGAACTGCATTGTTCTCAAAAGGACCAGCAAATTTTTCTGCAAATATTTTAGTAAATATTCTAGGCTTTACAGGCCACACATAGTGTCTGTTGCATATTCTTCAACGTTTTTTTCTCAGGTAACTGTTGAAAAATGGCAAATCCACTGCCGCCTCTCAGCTGGAGCGGCGAGGTTTTCTCAGCCCTTGTTTCAGGACCCTCAGGTATGTGACTAACTTTTATGTCCAGAGCTGGAAGGCGGGGGTCCCCTAACTCCCTGGGTGCCCATCTGCCCACTTCACCTGTTTGTGGCCCCTTCCTTTCCTTCCTTCTGTCTCTGCTGTTGACCCCTAGTGGCTCCATCGCCAGCTCCCTGCAGCTCCACCAATAATCCATGGCTCCTATAGGAGGAGTCACAGGCGGGTGGCCAAGACCAATTTATTAGGTGGCCAGGACCAACTTATTAGGTAGCCAGAAGCTCACCCACTTTCTTAGCAACTTTGACCATGAAGCATAAATACGATGCAGGCAAATCTAGACTGGCAGAGTCTCCTCCAGGAGCCCGATAACCTGGACAATTACGAGACCCTGCGGCTGTACAAGGCACTGCTGGAGATGAACCGGCTCCAGCCTCTGCCCTGTGACAAGCCTCTGCCTGGGTCCCCAGGCTGCTAGTAACATGCTTTGAAATCTAGGTGGAGGGAGCCATGCCCCCACAGCTCTTTCCTCAAGGATTAGATGCATTTTACCTTCCAGAGAGGCAGGTTAAGCCACACCTGAGGGGCAGTTTGAGCCACAATTGGGACAGAATTCCCTTAGTCTTCTCTTCTGACCCTTCAGCAGAACTGCCTCTAATGCTCAGTTCACGGCAATACAGGCCTTTTCTCTCCTGTTTCTCCAAGCTCGTCCAGCCTCTGCCCAGTACCTAGTTCCAAAGCCACTTCCATATTCTCAGCTATCTGTTATAGCAACAACCCCACTAATCTGCTACCAAGTACATGAATTTAACTGTTCTGGAGTTAGGAAACAGCACATACAGACACTTGCACAAAACAAACTCCACCAAAAAAAACTGTATGAGAATTCCCCAAACTTCTCAACTAAATAAATAGGTGAAAAAACACGATCTCACATATGCCAATCCAATTGTCCTTTTTAGATTTTGGCTTACATTGTCATTTCTTTTTCCTTCACATGTGAATTTATTTTCTGTATTGGATGCAGACTCTTCCCTTCTGGATTTACAGTGGCACTGACAATGACAGCGTCAGCCAAAGCAGTGACGAAGAACACTCGGCAGGCTGTGCATGGGGTCTCCCAGTATGATTAAAAGCTGAGATGACTTTTAATTAAGGAGGGTGGGGGGAGGGGAAACACCAATTGGAAGCTGGAAGAAACTGAGGCACAATTAAGCAGAAACACTGAGAAATACTGAAGAGCAAGAAGTGGGCATGTGCTCTAGTTCCAATAAAACCGAAACTGGTGAAACTAGGACTTTTCCAATTCTTTCAAAACCAAAGTGTTCTAACGCCACTGAAATATGGAATAAGGAGAGTAATTACCTGCGGTCAGGAAAAGATAATAGTAACAAGGATTTTTCCAAATAAAATGAACCAGTAAATTCTGAAGTGTGTGTTTTTGAAGAACCAGCATTGCCTCCGCTCACTCTGGTTCCCGGAGATTTTTCACACACTCACACAAAGCTCTAGTCCATAGTTCACTATCACTTTTATAAATGCTTATCTCCTGGTGCCTATATTTCTCTGTTTTAGATATACATGGTTTAAAAAATTTAAATTTGCAAAGAACACAATACAGTAACAGACCTGAACAATAAATAAAAAATAAACGTCACCCTCTTCAGGTTAGAGCTTTCAAGACAGAGAAAAAAGAGGATTATCATTTCAGGCAGTAAGTTTTTTGGTTCTATAAAAGCATCACTATTCAGTCCCCTCTCCACTGACAGAATGTGTCTTTCCACCTCCCTCCGGTATCAAAGTGCATTTGTTTAAATCTAACATTCCTTAAAGAAACCCCAGAAATCTCATTTATTTTTGGCAGATACCCTGTGCAGCAAAAATCAAGTGAATTTCCCTTTTCCCCACTCCTCAATTTAAAGCTGTACTCAAAAGGGCTAAATGCAATACTTCTAGACAGCAGGGCTTACAAACAATGGATTTTTTGTTTTTGTTTGGAGGAACAAAAAAGGGAAATAAAAAACAAAACCACAGGAAAATAAAGAGGAGAAACCCTGAGGCAAAAATGGCTTTTCCTTTCGAGTCTTTGAGTCTTCGTGGAGCTATGAGCCGGATCACAAGATCACAGGATCACAAGGTCCCCGCGGCGTTCTGGGTGGGAAGGCCCTCCTCCATCCAGAGGGCGGCGGCCGAGCCGTTCCGGAGAGTGCGCCGGTGGATGCGCCGCAGCCGCAGCAGGTACAGCAGGATGGCCAGCAGCACCACCAGGAAGCAGCCAGAGAACAGGTAGTGGTTGTAGACAAAGGAGACGCCCCGCCAGTGGGTGTGACTGGCCCGGAAGGCTTCCTGCTGGATGTCTCTGCCCATGTGAACACCAAACAACAAACAGGACAGTAAGCAAGGAAAGGGGTGGACACGGTGCACGGGGGATGGCGGGGCCCAGGCCCCAGAGCTGTACTTCAGGAACTGCAACCCTACCTCTGAAATGGAGAACAGAACAGCCCAATGCAGGGAATTTCTAAGTGTCAATGAGATAACACCTGAAAGTATACTCTGAAGTCTGTCATTATAATTTGGGTAACCAAAATCAGAGGAATTTAGAAGAGTCGTGAGGGATTTGCTGACACAAAGTAGTCAACGTGTAAACAAACTGCATGCTTGTGATCAGTAACACCCATGACTCACTATTTTTACAGTTAGCCCAGTTAAAAGGGTCGCTGAGAAATGCTCAATTAAATGAAGGGGGTGGGAGGAAGAGCAAATATCTCATCTATCTGGTAACTCGGGTTCATACCACAGGTCAACTGACAGCAGATCTGCAAACGTGAATGGGGAAAAATGCACATCTTTGTTATACCCAAGCGCTGACTGAATGTAGCATTTCTTTGACCAGAAATGCAGACAACAAACTATCATTAGCGTTGGCAGCACCTGCAACTTTGTTACTAATGAAAATCACAGATCTTTCACATCACATTATGGTACCACTAATGCCTCAAAATATCACTGACGCTCATTGCCTAAACAAATTACAGAAAGTGCTAATTCTGCTGCCAGATCCTGTTATTTAATATGTTAATAAAGAAGAACACGTATCACAGTATCACAAACTTGTTTTCTGTAATATTTTGATGAATATTATTTCAATATGATGGTTTCTTCTGTAATCCTATGTATTTATACATGCATTTAAAAACAGTATTTGGAAAAGAGGCCTGAGTCATAATCACGCCTGTAATCCCAGCTCTCAGGGAGGCAGAGGCGGGAGGATAGCTTGAGCTCAGGAGTTCGAGACCTGCCTGGGTAATATAGCGAGACCCCGTTCTCCACAAAAAGGAAAAAAAAAAAAAAAAAAAAAAAGACAAAAAAAAAAAGAACTCCGGAACTGACCTTTTACCAGGGTTGGGGAACAGACAGTTGAGAATAACCAAACACAGGGCAGTAGGACAGGAGGGCTGTGTATTACAGGATGGTAGGGTGGGAAGGGAGGAAGCACTTATTGGGGGGGGGGCAAGACCAAAAGCAAGCATCACTGTCCCCACAATTCTGCTGTGGCTGGCTCTAATAGCAATGCCCCAAACAGGCACAGGCCATAGCTGCCATGAGGCACTGTAACTGCAGAAAAGCATCTTTTTGATTCTTGCTACCAAATTCACAGCCCTACCTTAATGGTAGAAAGCGGGTCCTGTAGAGGATGGCTCCAAGGGTCCACTGAACCTCCTTGTCATAAACTTGCAAGGCAGTCTTTAAGCTTTTATAGTTGACAGGAAATGAGAAGCCCCTATGAAACACCTCAAACATCCAGGCCGATTTGAAGCACTGATACCTACAAACGGCAAGCACAAAGGCAAGTCAGACTGACTTGCTCTGTCAAGACAGCAGGCGCACAGACAATCCTTCCCTCTCCGGGCAGCCGTGGGGCAGGGGCTTCCTCAGGTCGGCTCTCCCAAACCCACTGCGTGCGTTTCAAGGTTGATGTACTTGGTTCACATCCCTAGTCCCACAAGATGGAGCAGTCTACCTGTCAAATCAGTTAGTGCATGAACCTGGTCTCGGCGTAATGTCATATGTCCCTGAGACAGATTTCTTTTCCCTCTGGCATTTCACCATTCATTCCCTGAATGAATACTGAACAGGTTCCAACCTCTTTGTACCTCAGTTGATTATAAAATGAGATGGTAGGAAGGTTCTTTTCAGCTCTGATATTCTATGACTCTAAATATTTATTAGAGGTTTACTTTTGGCCAAGCACTGTGCTAAGCAAGTAGTAAGATAGAATAATTAGTAAGATACAGTGTCTGCACTGAAATGACTTACGATGAAAGGAGATTTTTAAAAAGCAACAGAAAAACAAAGCAGAACATGATAAAATGCATTAACGAAGTCGGATGAATTCCTGAGACTCAGAGAAAGGGATGAAGTCTGATTGAGGGGACACAGCGAGACTGGAAAGGGACAGCCTCTGACTGGACTCTGATGTCTGGGCAGGACTTGAACAAGCAAAGGTATGAACATGGGAATTTCAGACGGAAGAGACAGTAAAAGTGACTAAAACAAAAAAGATATGGAATATGTCTGGGCACAAGTATTTGTCCCGTTTGAAAGGGGTCCAGGGTAGATGGGAAGAACAGTGAGTGAGGAGAAGTTGGATTGAGGCCAGGGTGTGGCCAGTCAGTGGGGCCAACACTGAATTATGGTTCTTAAAGAGTGCCCTGGGCTTGATCTTCTAGTACTTACTTAAGCCTGTGGAGGTCAGCATGAGAGGCGTACAGTCCTCGGTCAAAGCGTTCCCGCAAAATGGACCACTTTGTTGCACAATAATCCTGAAAACAAATTTACCAAAATAAATCACTACTAAAGGCTTATTAAAATTCTCACTTTAAAAATGGTTTACCAAATTTATATTTGTAACAAGCATATCCTTCCCATTAGGAAACACACAAGCTTAACATACAATAAATGCAAGATATACGCAAACACTCAGGGAATACTTACTGATTCGCAAACACAATGCTTTGCCTTAAAATTTTGTCCAGGTATTGTTAAAGAGAGCTTTGCTGTACACAACCAACCTCTCCAAAACTGTTTAGTTTCTCCCTCCATGACTGCATGGTACAGACATACATTTTTGGAAAAGTGAAGCAGTATTTTAGCTACTTCAAACTAAATCCTGTACCTGCGGAGGACACAGTACAAGCTACTGGGAAAATCAAAACAAAAGGCTTTGGTCTTTAACAGAAGGGAAAGAGATCCCACTATTTCCTGAAGTTATTTGTTATAATATTAGTAACTTTTATTGAGCATTGTGTAAGTGCATCTTCTCAGTGTAATACTTAACTCCTCGAGGTGGCTACCATCCCGACCTCTCTTTAAAGGATGAAGACACTGCTGAGAGATGTGGGAGATGGGCCTGGCTGACAGGGAGCTCAAGGAAAAAGCACTTGGCCTTGAGAAAGGGCTCAGCATAGGCGCTTCAGGAACATGAACATGGACACAGAGGAGAAGTCGTGGAGAGCACGAGGGAAGCCAGCTGTTTGACATGATTACAGCATACAGTGCTCTGTGCTTCAAGATGGGTTTGAGGAACACTTGGGAGATAAAATATTACATTTGTGACTGATTACACTGGGGTGTATAGAGACATGAACTGGTTAGAGGGAGAAGTCCATGACTCCTAGGCTGCAGGGAGGGGGACTGGATGGTTGGTGATGCCATTAACTAAGAGAGAACAACAGGAACAGAATGGAGAGAAGAGAAAATGGTGGGTTTGTCTGGAGCTGTGGAATCTAGCAGGCAACTGGGCAGGGGTCAGGATTGGAGCCTCTTCTTGAGAGGCAGCAGCAAACCCTGAGCATGGATGAGACCATCCAAGAACCTGAAGGTGAGGGGCTAAGTGTGGAAGTCTGGCATCACCTAAGTTTAAGGTGTGTCAGGAAGGCAGAGAGAACACAAGAACAGGAGTGTCCTGGCAGGTCAGGGAGCGGGAAGGCTAGTAGGAGAATTGTCAGATGGCAGCAAAGCATAAAAATGACATAAAACAGTGTAATTTGGAGGTAACTGATGACCAGGGTAGCTAATGGAGTGGTGGGCAGAAGTCAGCTTACAGTACATTTTTTACTTCTGCTGTGACTATTCAACCTCCCTCCAAGCAAAGAGAACAGGATTCCAACAAGCTGCAGTGCAGCCTTCCACACTCCATCCTTCCCTGCCAGTGTGAAGTGAGGACACAACCCGTCACCGTCCACGCTGGTCTCTCAAAAGCATGCGGAGCAGATGGCGTCTCTCAAGGGTACCTTTGCAGCTTTAGTAAATTTAGCAGCATTGTAGTCTCCCCCCATTCGTAACACATCCTCGGTGCAGTAGTAGAATTCGGAAAAGCCATAGAATTCACTGTTCTGGAAGTGAATTGGGGGCTGGTAGACCCCATTGAGGGAAGTCTGGGTCTCGTTTGTTTTATTCATGAAAGGCTGGATAGTCTCTCGACACAGGTCAAAGTCTCCAGTCCCTCGTAGGTATATGGTTTGTCCATTTTGCTGGATTTCATCTTTAATATCTAGGGGTAGGCAGGGGTCCAGGTACGGCATATCAGGAGTCAGACCAGTCTGTTTACCCAGGAGCCTATGGCAAAACAAGAAACTTTATCGTGAGTCCTACAGAAAACTGTGTTTTCAAGAAGTGGCTGCAAACCAGTGTTTCTCAAAATACGCTCTGTGGGACATGAGACCTGCAGGACGGTGTCTGTGGAACAGAAAAGGGTTCCGAGATAATTAGTTAGGAAAATACACACTTAAGACTTTCTTGGAGAGTCAGGATACAAATTTGTCTGCAGCAGACAGGCTACCAGAGGCCAGTTAGATGACCTATCCGATTACCTGATGATCCTGGCAACTGGGCCTGACGTTCCCAGTTGCTGGGCACAAGGCAACTGTGCTGTTGCCAGCCCCATTTTTGCCACTAGTGCTTGTGATTTTACCTAATATAGATGGAAGGAATGTGACTGTGACAAGATCTGGTCCTGGGCATAGCAGGTTAGATGCTTTAGAAAACTAAGGTCAAGTTACTAGAAAATTATCAAACCAGGTGTGGGCAGGATTTTTAAAACTGGGAAAAATTAGCAAACGTCTAAAAGGATTTGGTACCAAATTGCTTTGCAAATCTCTTTAAGAATTCAGTGTTCTTTAAACAAAGACAAACTGGTATCTCAATGAGGGGTGCAGTGCATGCCGAAGAAAGGATGGAGTCTAAAAACAGACCTTGGTTCAGAGCAAAGGATTAGCAAATGAATACAGAAGTTAAGACAGAATGTTTAAGGCCTGGCTCTATTTTTATGATTCTGTTTCAACTTATTTTTTTTCTTGATCAGCTATGGGTCCCAAATGCAGCAGACAGCAGTTTCCATTGCACGATGGGCTCTGAGAAGCCCTGTAGAAAATAAACATTAGTTTTGTTAACTGAAAGGCACTAGGTTTATTACTTGCTAATGAAATTTCCGGGAGTGAACATCTGTCATCCTACTGTGTGTGCACACCTTAAAGCAGTAAGAAACAGAGAGGAGCTCACGAAATGTCAAGTGATGTTGGTGTTGGATACTGTGAAATCACAGGGGCCTGACAGGTATTGAACTGGTAGAGTTAAGCATGGTCAGAATTCAATATTCATCACCAACAGTCAAGTTTTCACTTTTCACTTCACTCACAAGTTGTGCATTCCTCAGATCAGGGTTACTCATCATGCAGTTGAATGTAATAAATTAAGGTCTTTGCCATAAAAATGTTCACTTAATTAAAAAAAATTAATCACCACTACAAATGGCAAACAGATAAATGTGTATTTCAGTGCTCAATTCATGATATATGAAACATTTGTAATTATTATAAAAGTCAAAGAGTAGTCAAATATATATTTCATGCTATTATTTTTAGTTGTCCTATATCTAAATTAAGAAGTATTACTAAACTATCCATTATATAAAGCTTTCTGATATTAAAACCAATGAGTAAAAATTAAGGTTTCGGAAAAAATATATTTCAAATGTTGTTTATAAAATATTTCTAGTTTAAGACTACTATAAAAATGATTATACCAAGATATGCTAAATACCAATTAAAAATACAAAACCATGGGACTATCAATTTTATAATTAAAACTATTCAGACATAGGAAAAGGTTTTTATTGCTTTTCCTATTTACACACATGACTTTGTGGTAAATGTACTGAACAGCTCCAACTTGGTCTTTTTTCAAGTTCAGGCCTTCACAGGTTTACTAAGATTAATCAATGAAGTATACAATGTCTTAGCTCAATGAATCAGGATTTTTTCCCCTCAAAATTGTTTCATCAAAATAAACAAACAAATAAAACACAGTAATAAATAGGATAGCTTACATAACCCCAGAGTCAGATTTTTTGTATTCATCCAAATAGCTTTTCTGTTCTTACAAATTTCAAATAAATAATTGCTATATACTTACACTTATAAAGTCAATTTAAACCAATAGAGTGCTGTTTTGTTTTATATATTTTCTATACCACAATTCTACATACACTCATTTTTTAAAGCTTCATTGCTAAATTTAAAAGCCACTAACTCTGACTCTTCTAGATAATTTATTTCTCTTGACTAATTCCCTTCACGATGGTTTTTATCCACTAACTAGCTGCACAGGCTGGTTCATCCATACAGTCTCCAGAACATCACATATTTCAATCTCCTCAGCAACTACAAGACAACACACTACCTGAGGCCTCCAGGACACCAGCAGTGCTCCAGATACTGGGTTTTCCAAGGACTCTGCATCATGAGTAGCATCACTCAGGGCTCCAAACTATTCTATAGTCTGATGGTGAAATTTCTAATCCATCAGTTGAGATGCGGGTGAGAGAGAGAGAGCACGCACGCACTTCCTTCAGGGCACGTGGGACACAGGGCCGAAGGCAGGACCCTGGTGTGCTTTCATCTCTTCTCCCTGCTCAGCTAGTGGGGGAATAAAAAGCTAACAGAGCAACACACTTTTGCTAATTGAGTTCTTCCTGCTTTGCCTGGGTCTGTTTTTTAGGAGGGGAGACCTTGGTTTGCAAGTGACTGCCAAGGAGTGAAAGGTGCTTTACCTGTTCTTTTGAATGGTGTTGGCAAATATTCTGTCTTCGTATCTCTGTCGAGCAGCATTGCCACCAAACCCAAGAAACGTGGCCACATAGACTCGATACACATGCTCAGTTTGGTGAACATCACATCCCAAGTTAAATTCAGCTAACAAGTTTTTAGCTACTTCTTCCTGCAAACATAAGCATAACAAACTTTAATAGCTTAAGCTACTTTAACCTCCTACTAAAAACAAGGGTCTAAAAACAGTCTCATCTAAGAGGGACAAAAACATCTGCTTCTGCACTTCCCAAAGACCCTTCTAAGTATCCTTCATAATTCAATATGACAATTCTGATTCAGGAAATTTCAGATGGGCTGCAAATTTGTGATACTGTTACAACTTTTTGAAAGAGGAAGTGAGCCAAACAGTTCATACCCTCTGACATTATTTATTTATGTAATCCTATGCTGTGGAAATAAACCTAAACATAGAAATGTTTCTATATGCAAATATGTCCTTTGTCATTCTATGGCAGAAAAAACTAGATGTCATCTAAATATATACTAGCAAGGGAAGGTTAATTACAGTAATCAATAGCTTACGGAGGAACATGCTCATGCAGTGTTAAATAAAGGACAAAAATCACAAACTAAGATGATCACAACCATATTTTTTAAAACTATGAGTAGAAAAAAAAAAGAAAAGCAATTCATTAAAAGGCTAACAAGGGCTTTTTTAGATGATGAATCCATGGGAAATTCTTAATCTTGATTTTTCAGTATTTGTTCCAAACTTTATTTCTATGTATTTTTTTTACTTTATATTGAGAAGGGAAAACACGATTTTTTACAAAGAGCATAACAGTCTCTAGAGGCATGTCTGGAATGGGAGGCAGGAAACACAAATTATAATACTTGAGTTTACAAAGTATTTTTCCAAGAAGCTTAATAAAGATGTCAGTAACATTTATTGAGAACATACTAGCTGCCTGGCAGTGCACAGATACACTGGATGCATTATCTCATTTAAACCTTCTTACACCACCATGTTGTAGGTACTTTCATTCACATTTACAGATGAAGAAACCAGCTTAAAGGTACATGACTCGCATAAGGTCCCACAACTAGTGAGGAGGAGGATAATGAAGAAACCCAGGCTTGTCTAGCTCCACCGTCTCACTTTGAACCCTCCCCTCCGCGCCACACTATGCTGCCTCCCACCTTTGAGGGGAAAATGCAGGAAGCTAGGCTTTGGTGTTAATCTACAGCTGAACACAAATGGAGTAATAAAGACGTGTAGCAATTCAGAAATACATCCGGAAACTGTGCCGGGTTCTCCACACAAGGTTGCCCAGGCAGCAACTGAGAGGGCACAGAACAGGGTGGAGAACAGTTCGGGGAAACCCCCAGTTGAAAGATGTGGAAGCAGTGGATACAAACCTCAATCCTCCCCAAGGAAGCTCAAAGTCTGAACCATTAAAAAAAAAGAATTTCCCCAAATTCTAACTTAAAAAATCAGATATTATTACGTGACATTTTATAAAATCTGTTGAGAAAAGATGTGACTGAAGAGAAAACATAAACAGAAACTCAAGCATGCGACTGCGTATATACCAAAGAAAAACTACGGTCAGAAAACAAACCAGCTGATTTCAATGAACACACACAAGCGGCTCAGCTGAGGTCTGCCTTGTTCCTCCTGTCTCCTTTCTCCTGGGTTGAGAGGCGGCACCTCAGCAAGCACAGTAAAGATGTGTTCAGACTCAGAAAACAAAACAAGAACGATGGACACATGTTAAATGAAAACCAAACCAAACAGAAGGAAATTTGTACAGATAATGACCTGCTGTGAGGACGCAAAGCTTACAGTTTTGGGGACTTCGTATGCTATCTGAGTCGACACGCCGCCCATGTCGAGAATGCCCGCTGTCCTTTTACGGACAATGGCTTCACTGCTTTCACTTCCAGGAATGTTAACTTCCACAACTGCCTCATCATCTGGAAAGAACAGAAAGTGTTCATTGGAACAGAACTAATCCAGAGAACTGGGCTCTTCTGAAGAGTCACCTTTTCATGGTCTATTTCAAGCATATTCAGGCAAACCCAGTCTACTCCCCCCAACTAAAATCAAGTTGAATTATGTTCAACTGCAGCTCCTCTCATTCTACTCCTACACGCTTAGACGTGTCACAAAGCTTAGCTCTTTTTTCAGCCTTTGGATTAAACAGAAAAGCACCAATTTCCAACTAGATACATTTGCTGGAAACACGACACTTACCATCTTCAATATGCTCAAATCGTCCAAGGACAAAATTAATGCCAATCCAAGCATACACACCTACAGACATTTACAGGGTGAAGAGAAGAAAAAGTTTTAAAACATTTTGTGTAACTCTTATCAGCGCAGTTTGTACAAACGTCTCATTTATTTCATTCCCTGATAACCTGTAAAATCATCTGAAATAACACCTTGCTACTGATTGTTTTTATTACTCCAAATGGCTTTCCAAGAACTCTCAACTTTAATGCTTATAGTTATACCATCTACATAGGTGGAAAATACAATACGCTAGGTGCTAGTTTTCTTTAGAAATTTATGAGTTGTTTCAAAATACTGGAATTTTCACTTTTATGATGTTAAACTTGTCAAGTTTTACATCAAAGTATTGGCTGGGCATGGTGGCTCATGCCTGTAATCCCAGCACTTTGGGAGGCCGAGGCAGGTGGATCATGAGGTCAAGAGATTGAGACTATCCTGGCCAACAAGGTGAAACCCTGTCTCTACTGAAAACATAAAAATTAGCTGGGCGTGGTGGCGGGCGCCTGTAGTCCCAGCTACTCGGGAGGCTGAGGCAGCACAATCACTTGAACCTGGGAGGCGGAGGTTGCGGTAAGTCAAGATCGCCCCACTGCACTCTAGCCTGGCGAAAGAGCGAAACTCCATCTCAAAAAAACAAAACAAAACAAAACAAAAAAACGAAAAAAAATTTCAAGGTATCTTCTACTTTTTCCTTTATCCCTCCATTCACTCAGCTGACAAGTCTGATTCTAGTTTCACATTCCCTACACCTGGTTTTCATTGCCACCTTGATTCGAACCATTACAGATGGGGGGTAGCCCATCTAATCCATCTCTGCCCCTATTCCTGTTGCCACCTGCTCTACTCTCTGCATTGGACTCCTCTACAGAAAGAAGTCCAAATTCCTGTACTGATAATTCAAGAGCCAGCCAATCGCTAACATTCCCGCCACTCCTTCCAGAAGGCCCACCACCCACACTAAAACATTTGTGTTTCTTTGTCTACAGTGCCCTCTTTCCAACCTGTCCTGAGTCAAGTCCTTTCTTCTGCCTGGCATGTGCTTCCTGCTCCTCCCTCAGAGCCCCACCCTTCTCATGCTCTGGCACATTCTATTAAGAACTATCCCCTCCCTTGAGGTGCAGTTCAGATGTCACTTTCTCCAACATGGCCCTAGCTGGAAAAAAAAATGCCTCCCTCTTAAGAACGCCTGTGGTATTTTTTCCTATCTTTTTTCTGGTACCTAAAACCCTCATAGAACAGCTAATTGTATAGCTCATTTGTTTGTAAGCAGCTGAATGGCAATGTGTAAATTTCACCCCATTTTTGTATTTTCTACAGTGTCTTTCACATAGGAAGTATTAATGCTGAAATGACATATGACTTTTGAAATACTTTTTGGTATACATTTCTAGCAAGCTATACCCCAAATAATTTCATTGACTTGACATTTCATTCTCAAGGAGAATCATTTCTTTGAAAATAGAACAAAGATTTGATATTTCTCAGTGTATCAAAGTTGAGAAGAAGCTCCAACAGCTTAATAATGATCAAAGTCCCAGGAAGCCACACAACTGAGGCAAGACACACAAGCCTTTTCTATCAAAGTGAGTTTACATCAAGCTATGTCTCTACATGTGGTGAAGACAAATAGTTATTTTTCAATGGCTTAATGTCTGGGCAACAAAGACTAGTCATGTAAGAAACTGGTTTAGTTATTTAAAAATTGTAATATTTCAAGTCTATTATTTCCCAAATGTTAAGATAATAGGAGTGTAACAAAGGGTACACTGATGAAAATGGGGAGGATTTAAAGGAATAGCGTCCCAAATTTTAAACTGAAGACCAATATACCAACCTTCTTGTTTCCCAGAAATTACTTCTGCATGAGAGTCAGAAAACAGAAAGTCAAAGTGCACGGGAATATCGGTCAGAAGGTCTTCCAGAATAGCTTTCTGCTGGCTGTCAGGCAACAAAAACATTTACAAATCAAAAGATTACAGCTTGATATCTTCTGTTTAGAAAAGAAAAAACAAAACAAAACAAAAAAACAAAAACAAAAAACAAACCAGGGCTCTGGTATATCTTGTATGAAACAGTTAATTTTAAAAACAAAGAAATTTGTTGGAAAGATATTAGGAATGAATTTCCAAAATGAACAAGTTGTGTGAATTATGTGATATCTAGATGTAAAACTGCAACTGCAAGCATTCCTTAACTACATAAAATAGATGAGATTTTTAAAAATGACAACTTTACAGTTGACTATAGTCCTAAGTCAATTAAAGACTATTTGCTAGATTCTGGCTAAAGGAAGAGTTCTGATACTACTCCAGATTTGAAGAAAGAATTTTGAATGTTTTCCTTTTGACGATGACGATGATGATGGAGAGGAGGAGGAGGGGGGAGAAGAACACCCCTTCTCCCCTCCAGGAGCCCACCCTCGCCCTTGCCCTTCTGTGGAGGATCACCTTTCAGGGAGGATTCTCATTCCAGCCGTGCAGAGAATGTAGAGAGGTGTCTCTTTGTGTTTTGCCCGTGGCACATGCTCTGCAGCAAAGTTCAAAAGTGGAGAAATGTAATCACTGACTTTCTCTGGAGAGGTAGCAAATTCTGAAATGCCTAGAAAAACAGGATATTTTAGTTAAGAAGCAGATATTTTAGCTATAACATGTGATGCTTCTTCAAAGTGCTAGTTTTAGGGAAATCATGCTACACATTATACTTTCTTAGTTTTTCCTATCCCTCTAGCAACTTCTTCTGCAGACCTTACTTAAACGTTGGTGGCACTATTCAGTGCTATGTCCTTTCCTTCTTCATCAAAGCACACAGACCTGACTGAGCATCTGCTGTGTGTCACTGCCATGCGGATGGGCTGTTGCTCGCCCTCAAGAAACGTGCTCCCCATCTCGCCAGGTGAGCTCAGTACCTCCTGAGGCCGCTATCACCATCAGCATGCCACGAACTCCTAACTGTGCCACTGGCCATGCAGCGCTCATTAGCCTCCAGGTGAGCGTGGGGTAACTGTCCACCAGACACTGCCCGTGCGTGTCCTTGCAGCCACTCCCAACACATTATGGCAAAATCTGAATTCAACTTTCGCTACAAACCTGG